CACTGGTCTATCACCACCCAATGTCACAATATGGTAGTCAATAAAAATAATAAAACAGTAGCTTATTTAGTAGCCAAACATAACAAATAGCTTTCTAACTAGATCAAAACTTCATTTCCAGCACAACTGCAGTACAGCCTTCCCCTAAGATTCAATATTGTTTCTCATTTCCACTCTTAAAGAACTGTTATAGCTTGAGAGAGAAATTTCTATGGATGTGAGTTACACCACTTGTTCTAATCAACTGCACATGCTCATCATTGCCTGCTCTGGGATATTTAGGTCCTCAGAGAGGGATTATGGCCAATGCTTGTATTATTATCTCAATTGCTTGAATTCTCTGGCACACTCTTTCTATTAGAAAAAGGTCTGAGTACACAAAAGCACAGTCCATTTGTAACTCAGATGAGGAAACTTGTTGGGAGGTTTGCTGACAGCCAATTTCATTTAGCTAGTTTCACTATAAGCAACTTATTCTACATGTGTGTTTTGCATTCAAATTGTTCTTTATAAAGATCCTTCCCTAATAATACGAAAATGCTTTTGTAAAGCCTGTAAGTGGTTTCTATAATAAGGTTTTTAATGAGATGGAATATTAAATTAAGTTTTGTAGAAATGCTTGAGGTGTTGTTATAACTAAGTTACGAACTGTACACCATTACCTTTATCACAAAGAGTAATTTCAGCTTCTCTTCATGCAACAGCATCCAGCTCTGAAGCAGTAACTATCAGCTATTGTGCACTGCAAGTTCCATTTTGTTGACTATTTAGTAACGTTTGTGTCTGGGATATCTGAGCCCTGCTGCATGAGTCACTCAACCAACCCATCCTGGGCTGAGATCAGTTCTCTATCCAGTGCCAGCTCTGAGGTTCCCTCTCTTTTGCTTGTAGCTGAGATTCCTTAAGAGTAAGAAATTGTGGCTCTGTCTCCACACTTTTGCTGTCTGCATGGCCAGTGCACAGCAGATAAAGCACATCTTAACCTTATGCAGCTCGCGTGTAAACCAGAATGATTGATGTGACTGCATACAGGCAGCAAGTCAGAGTTTTTCAGAAGTATTTTTGCAGCCTGTCATTAATACTGAAGTGTCTGACATTAGATGTATAACTTAGATTGCCCTTTCATTACCATCTACTGGTAGTAAGACCAAATGTGTCTTTCTCATAATGGGAATATTTCTCATTACCTGGTGGTCATGGGAATGGGGGGGTGCTGCTCTGTTTGCATAAGAGGCCATAAGAGTCCAACAGTGGATGAAAGGTGAAACAAGCTGCATCACACCTAATTTGGATGCAGGAAGTTGTTTAAAACAGATGATGTGAATAACTTTCTTAGGTCTTCTAACTCATTTCTAAATCTATGGACATTTTCTGTTTGTTATTCACTTCATATACCCTTCATTCGCCTTCTTAATCTTATTCTTCTGTCTGAGATTTGTCATACCTCTGAGCAGCAGGCCACTGAAAAATCTCCCAGTGACTTGGAAGTATAACATATGTTTTGTCTTGATTTTGACTCCAAGAAGCTTGAAATAGTACGATAAAAGCTCCATTCCTCTAAATCCCTGTGCTGGGACAGTGGGGCAGTCACAATAGCTTATCCTGTCTCAATTCCTTCAGCTACCAAGTGATGGTAATGATATGTACCTCTGTCAAGGGCTAGGAGAACAGCAGTATAAATAAAACCAAAGCATTACAATGATCTATGACATGGATTTAGCACCCAGCATTAGTTGATGTTTCTAACCCCAGGGAAGCAAGGAGCTGCTAGCTATGCAGGCTTGCAAGTGTAATGCTATGTGTCACTCTCCAAGATCTACATCCTAAGCAGAGAAAACAATAGCTAGAAAAGGTACGTCAAGCCACAGGGATGACAATGGCTTTCTCAACCCAAATAAAAGGAAGAAAATGAAATGGGATTTTATGGCTAACATTTGGTTAAGGCGTATTTTTATTACTGCTTGCCTTTAATTAAAAGATATTAAATGCTGCCAGTGAACTGGCAGTGATGAGGACCATGGAGCTGCTGCTGAATATTCAGCAAGGCTGACTGCAGCTCTCGAGGAACTACCATTGCAGCAAATGGGCTGCAACAGCAGATTTTAATATACAGTAGCAATGTTCTTTAGCTGCAGTGTAGCTCAACCGTACTGCCTCTCATCATGAGATTGATGGGGATTCTGCTGTGCTTGCTATACTCCAGTGCGGAGCACTGGAGGGCATTCAGCATGTTGAGAAAGGTCAGAATAAGACTACATCAGCTTCTGAACCTCAAAACTCTGAACTCTTTGCTACCTATTAGGGCAGACAAAGAAAAGCTGTGTTCTGATGTGTGACATCCGAAAGAATTGCTTGAGGCAGGTGAGAAAGTTGCTGCTACTTAAAGGAAGGAGTAGTTGTCTGCGAGCTAGATCTGTCATAGCAGTACCACAAGTACCACAGCACAGCTCCAGCAAGCTGCCCTTTCAAACAGTATGGTGTCCTGAGTAAACTGACTGAAGCTTTGGTAATGAAGGCCTCACCTCAACAGTCAGCAACACATTGCCATCCTTTAATTTGGTTAAAGGGGGAAAAAAACCCTTATTTTTAGGTATAGAAGCTGGAATAAACGATGTTTAAAGAAATACGCCACATGTGCTACCAGTAAATCCCACTTTCTACATTTGAAAGGCTTCTAATATGCATAATTCCAGCTTGTTGAGAGAGAGGAGCATCTGTCTTGGCAGAACATTGAAATAAACTAAAGCTGGCTCGATATGCAAAACCATGGCCATAGAGCAGGGGTGGCTGCATCTCTCAGACCTGGACTGGGTCACACACACTGCCTCTAATGCTTCTAATACCCTGGCTTCTTATACATTATCAGGACTGATGTGTTTAAAAATACATAGAAGAAAAAGGCAAAAGCAATGTTTCTCTATTTGCTTATGTCCTCATCCATGCGCACTCATTCTGTTGATTCTGATACAGTATTTATACATGCTATTTTGTTCTTTTTTAGAGAAAAAGACCTGTGGTAGTCTGGGTACACAAGAAGCCAGGGACTGACCCTCTTAATGTCATGCCTCTGTTGGTGATCTACTTAAGCACTGCTTCTTTCTTTATAAGGCTGTAGGCCAGGGCAAGGCAGTAATGTGAAAGACTGCCACAGAGTGTGACTCAGGGCATAGGTATGTAACTAAAAGCTTGCTGCATCACGGCTATGGTCAGCATTCCACTCGCCTGGAATTTCTTCTGGCAGCTTTACCAGGCTGGGAAAGAAAAAACCTGGGGAAAGTTTCTCCTGCCCAGCTTTCCCCCTCATCTGATCAGAAATCCCATTGCATACATTTAACAGCTTCACAGAAGAGTTTCTGTAGTTGCTTTCCTTCTTGGTCTTTCCAGCAGTGTCGTTTTCTAGTTCTTAACATTTAAATGAAGGCTGAATTAATACAGTGTATTATGTTTTTCAGTTATGAGCCATGTTAGAATCTTTCCTAGTCCAATTACACTTATATTAAATAAAAACCAGGATCTAAGAGCAGCTTTCCCTGTCTTCCAACTACATTCGCTCTTGTGACATTTAACAAAGGTCCTATGTATCCAGAATTAAGAATAACTTAAGTTCTGCAGTCAGATCTGTGCAGTTGGTGCTGCTCTGCTGGAAATTCTACACTACGCTGTCCTTTCAGCTCCATTAAAATCTGCATGCTTTCATTAACAAGCTATGACAATTGCAAATGTAGAGAATAAACCAGAACATAGCTCTTCTCCAACACTCCTCTCTCCTTACTATACATTCTGCTGCCTGCACGGCTCATGCAGGTCGTCCAAAGGTAGTTTTGGCATCACCGTTGCCTAAACTATGCAGGTTGCCTTTCAATACTGGGGGAAATGGAGAGTGGGCAGTGTGGAAGAGTTCCAAGTAACCTGGATTTATGGATTATTAAAGCTATGGAGCTGGGATGGTGTGATTTTGTCCACTAACCTTGAAAAAATTACTTCTAACTGAAGTCACGTTAAAGTGAAATATTCCTTTACAGAATCTAAATTAGACCAAGTTACAATGGCCAGTACCTGAAAATCAAATTGAGTAGCTTGTCCTTCTTATCTTCTCTGCTCTACATGCAGCTGGTAGGCTGTGAGTGCCTAACGAAGCCAAGCTGTAAGGAAATGCCCTCCCTCGGTCCCCAGGCTGCAGGAGAGCCACCAACTGGCTTCTTTTCCTTCCCTCTTTTCCTTGTGGAGTGCTCAGCAGGTCATTCCAAATCAAATCTTCTCTCCCCTCTGCTTTGCCTCATGTATTATTGATTCTTAGCTAATCTAGGAGGTAATTTCAAATTTCTTTGGGATGATTAAGAGCTCCTACCTTTTTTTTTGGAGATGCTTATTTCCCTTTAGGAGACTTGGCATCAAAATCCCTTGTACTTAATGAGACTACTTAAAAATCCTTGACTGTTGAGAAGTGATATACTTTCTTGTTAAGGCAATGTCCAAATCTGCACTGAATCTATAAATGTGTCATACTTTATACAAGCCTATAACAGAGATTAATGCTTGTGGCTTATTATTGGCTCTTGATAGACACTACGCATGATAGTAATCATCCATTTGAGGATCATAATAGATTTGGGGTGTTTGACTTCATGTCCTGTGATTTAGAGATACTCTGATAGTCTCTAAACCAGTTAAAAATCTTGAGACTTGTATCGCTAAGCTGATATTTCAGCTTCAATTTAGGAAGGCAGCTCACACATCAGACATCTAATACGTTAGGCTGTCTGTACCTCCAGGAGTGAAATGCTTTATAAATTACCTTTCTGACCACGGCAGTTGGGATCATCATATTTTTCACTGGAAGCTGAGCTTATAGAGGGTAATACCACTGCAAAGGAAGGAGTCTGGAGCCGATCAGAATCTAAGCATTCTTGAATACTTGGAGATTCAAAATGTACTTCTTGTAAGTCCCATAAAATCTGCACTTTTAACTTGCTTCTTTCTGGCATCTTTTATTGTTGCAGATACGAAATTCAGAGGTATGACTGTCCTGTTACGAAAGAATCTCACTGTATTACACAGTGAGTATTACCACGGTTTTGAAGGTGTCATTGTGGTTAAAATGAGAGGCACGGGACTCAACTCTAAATCTCCTTTATTTCCTCTGCTACCATGCTGCTGCTCTGTGCTTTGAAATGAATCAGTTTGTCCAACAATAAAAACATGTAATCACAATTATCCTATGTCTTATAGAGGACTTGTGAGACTTAATTCATACTGGTACAGAATTTATGATCTTTGGGTGAAAGGTGCTTCTGACATCTAAGTGCAGTGTGTTACTATACCTTCATATCTTAGAGAATCAACTAGGTTGGAAAAGACCTTTAAGATCATCAAGTCCAACCTTCTTCTTGTTGCAAACCTCTCCAAAATAGTGCTCCAATTAAACCTTAGCTGTATGTGCCTGAACACCTTAACTTTAGCTAATACTCAGACTAGTTTGTCTCAAGAAGGGTAAGCCTAACACATGAATGCTATTAAGTTGTTCATTCTGGGGAACCACAGCCTGCTTTGTTTTCCTTGTGTCCTTGTGAGAAAAACATACAGCAAACCCAACTGAAATTGAAGAGTATGAAAATTGGTTCTAAAGCTGTTGTTGGCTTTGTGATTTTGTTACTCTCAACCTGCACTGTAAATGTATTGTCCAGCTGAGTACAGTTTTAAACAGGGCATTGTATAGGGTGTCGCATCTAATTCCAACCGTGACAGGCTGAGGAGACACGCTGCAAGTAAAGAGCAAACTGAGGAGCAGATGTACCTTGGGCACTATTACGATAACCTTGTGTTTTAATCTACTGTTTGCCAGTACTAAGAATACGTGTTGTCTGAATATGTTGTATACTAAACCTTTTCCTTTTCAACTGAGCATGTGTACCTGCTGTTTCTCTACCATTAGGAACACACCTTTAGCACTGTTGGACAATCAAAAGTCAGAGATTTTAAGGTTTAGGTCTGGTGGTCCCTAAGCTTCAAGTCTGGGATGATCTCAGCAATATTTTGAATTAGAAACACAATAAAGAAAGCAAATCAGTGCAGGACAATTCGTGTCTGAACTCAAATAGCAATACACAGCTGAAAAGGGGGTCTAGAGATATGTAAAGAGTCTGTGCAGCTCTTGGGAGCATGCTTATGCAGAGCCATATTTTGTTCAGCAGTGCATGGCTTTAATTGGAAGGAGCTGCATTGCCTCAGGTTGGGCTGGAGCTGTGAGATATTTTGTGTCTCCAAATACCCTCTTCATCCTGATGAGCACTCACATGTATCAGTGGCCTTGATCTCTTCTCAATCACACCAGCGAGGTTCCTGTGCCCCGTGGCTGCCTGCCCTGGTGCAGAAAGCAGGAGGGACATGACCACCCTGACACTCCAATCCCTTTGAAAGCCCACATCAGGACTGCAGCAAGGCAGTGTTTTGATTGCTTATACAGGATGATAACTTCTACTTTACGTGCTCTGTGCCTACAATGGTTGTAGATTATGATTTTAAAAGGACAAAACTGGTATTTTACCTCTGCTAAATCACTACGTTAGACCACAAGCACAATATTGGACTGATAGCTGAACTAAAAAATAAGTAAAAAACATAGACATGTAAATTTGACATAAAGACAATTGCTGTGGTCCAAGTCTTGGTGGGTCAACACAGCACCGGAGCGCATCTCATCCTGTTGATGCCATTTGTTAAAGGTTGCTGCTGTTCATGAGGGGAGTTGAAATGCTAGCTGCTGTTTATTCTCACAATGCAGATATTGCAAAAGGTTAATGAGATATTATGTCACACGTGGCCAGAAACCCTCTGAAGTTTGCAAGCAGACACTTCAAAATGCAGTGTGACAAGCTGCTCTTGTTCTTCAGCTACATCAGCACTACTCAAGGACAGCAGACTACGCAGAAGATTACTCTCAAAATTATAAAGTATATTAGTTTGGGGGACTTCGAACTGAAGGGTTTTGAGGAAATAATATCCATTCTGGAAACATAATGAATTTAAGAACAGGATTATTTCTGACTTCCATCTCTAATACGTTGCTTTTCTGTTCAGCACCCATTTCAGATTTCCAGAGTTGATGTGCTTTTTATTATGACATAAACTGTTTATGCTACATGGCTGATAGGGCAAATTACAATTTTCAAATAGAAGATACCATTCAGTCTAAAGAGGAGTATTTGCAACATCAGAAACATTTGGATTTTTCTATCATTTCCAAATTACAAAGCCAAGAAGAGTTAGGTTCGACAAGGAAAACTACTTAGGTGCCCACGAACTGTTGTCCCTACTTTGCCATAAGTGAGGGTTTTAAAGCTTTGGCTTTAACTACTTTTTGTGGTTGTCTGTTTTTCTAGATCCCAGTTCTTATTCAAGAACTCTGTTATTTAGGGAATGCCATTTGGGTCAAATTTGCCTCCTATGTAAAGATACTGAACTTCCCACTCCTGCATGCTGGAGGAATCACAGTTCTGTGAAACTGATATGCTAAACCAGATTCTTTCAGATCTACTCCCTTGAGTAGATCTGAAAGAATAATTTCAGCTAGAGTATTTAATACTCCAGTTAAACTGCTGCTAGAAAAAACAGAAAAGTGGGGACAGTATGTATAGCAATTAAAACCCAGAATGTCACAATGCATCAGCTTGGCTTCATTGTCCTAAGGGTGTCTGATATCCCATTTACTGCTGAGTGTAGAAACTGTGTGAAGGTGCTTGATACCACTGTAGGTTCACACAGCCAGGAAAAGAAGCTGACTAGAACACGGCTTCCATGACCCTCGTAGGTAGGAGAGAAGGTGGCCACTCAGGTGGTCATATAGGTATTTTATCTTCTAAGTTCTGAATGTCTCAATTCAAAAGAGCCTATCTCTCCACACTGCTACATACTTTAATGTCTTGACCCAAAAATCATTCTGGCTTGCCCTCGGTTGAATAACTAGTGGCACAGCAGTCAGCCTCTTTAAATGGTACTATAGATTCATCTCCTTGCATTGCTGCTTCCTCAACAGCAGCCCTCTTTAAAGGCCATGATGTTTCAGCATGGCACAATGAACAAATAGTTTCTTCATTGTTTCCTTTCTAACCTATAGACATATATAAGCTCTTTATTGTCACATCCATGCTTCTACATCACTTTCCTGCGAAGCTTTTAGTTAGAAATGATTCCATGGACTGTGCTAGTTAGAAAAAAACTGGAAATGGGATTCCCATCCTGGAAATACAGTCCAGATTCCAGACAACATACTATTCTGAACTGGAAAATATACTGTGAAGCTGCCATCTTTTGTTAAAAGTCTTACTTTTACAAGAAAGTATTACTCCATGGGAATGTAATTCACAGAAATGCTCCCGACAAGCTCCAGTCCATGGCCTTTCTTAGTTATATCTTTAAAACTGAAGAAGCTGTTTTCAAGTCAGCAGTGTGCGTGAAACTGCTTGTCTGCTGCTGAAAGATCCTGCCACCAATGCTTTTTATTGCTAAAAAAGACTGTCATTATGTAGTTTAATAGCTTTGTGATTATGATAAAAGTGTTTTAAACTCTTTATTCCTTCTTGTAAGAGAAGCAAGGCCTGATCACCTATGTAGTTAACAATGCTGCAGTCATTTCTGCCTTTAAGAACACCCTATACTCTGCCAAGGGAATATTGCCTTCAACGTTAGGAATGGTTTATTGCTTTCAAAGTTTTCCTATCAGTTAAGAGATTTCAAAGATTCTCACTCTGGAGGAATGCCCCTTTGAGGAATTCCTCACAGAAAGAGGTGTCTGCTTTGAAGATGTTCATGTTTTTCAAAACCAGGCACATTTCTGGGGTGTCCTCTTTGAAGACATTTGTATGTAGCACTTAAAAGGTTTCCATTTCGAGTATCTTTCTCCACTGTGGACAGCATCTATTTGAGAATATGTTTTCTCTGTGATATTCTTTTTGATAATTTATACAGTCTTGTAGGAATCCATAAAATAATTCTTATTAAAAGAGCCCAGGAATGAAACACTGTTCCTACATAAGGTGCAAAAGGATTTGGAAGAACTTAATGCAGGATGGAAAACTGGACCAAAAAGGATTCCATTTTCTAACATCAAAGAGGAAAGGTGAGCTCATCTGTCACTTCCATGACCTTATAAAAATTACTGTGAGACACTTTTTACTCCTTTTAAATGATTTGAGTTCAGAATTCAAGTTCTGGTATTCCTGAAATCAATAGCAGAAATCCCATTTCAGTCTAGCTGTGCAAAGAATACACTCTGAAATTGCTGTAAATCTTGCTTTCTTTGAGAATGCATTGCTTTAATTTACTCTGTTACCGGGGAATTGGAGTCTTTTCCTTGCTGGTGCTGAGGTTTGAGGTTTTTTAAATGTATCTTTTCTCCATTTTGTTTTAGTAATCACAATTATCATGTCTGTAAAACTGAGCAACCTCATGCCTTGTACAAGACTGGGCTCACTGTGTGTACTACATATAGTCTTCTGTCTGATGATGGCCTGTTAGATGGAGGGTGAGTCAAAATACATCTAAGCCATTCCTGAAGCTTACATCTAAGACGTGCCTTAAGCTTACATCTAAGCCTGGTTTTGGGATACTTACTCAGGCTGTGACTTAAACGTCTGGTCTGAGTTTGTTCCTCTCTGCAGGGCTGTCCTGGGTTCAGCAGTAGCAGTCATGTTTTTTCCTTTGTGTTAACTGGTGCAGTGCTGTGTTTTGACTTCTAGTTTTGAGAACAGCGTTGGTGAAGCCGATGTTTTCGGTTGTTGCTAAGTGATGTTTACCCTGACCAAGGACTTTGTGAGGCTCATGCTCTGCCAGGGAGGAGGGGAAGCTGTGAGGAAGCAGAGACGGGGCGCCTGACCTGGGCTAGCCGGGGAGGTATTCCATACCACAGCACGTCATGCCCGGGGTGGGGGGTAACTGGGAGTTGCCCGGAAGGACAGGGGCTTCCGGGTGGAACTCGTTTTCTTGGCCGGTGGTATCGTATTCTCTTCCCTTGTTATTTTCCCTTATCATTGTTTTAGCTGATAGTAGCGGTGGTGATTTGTTGCTGGACTGTTCTTGTCTCAACCCGTAGGAGTTGCACTCTCTCGATCCTCCTCCCCGTTCCTCCGGGAGCGGGGAAGGGGAGAGCCCCGGTGCAGGGAGGGGGGGGAGACGAACACGGACCTTGATTGTTGTCAGCTTGGCACCACTCACTG